ATCAGCAAAGACCCAATTTCTAAATAAGGTTGCATACACAGGAACTGGGGCTAGGACTTGAAAATGGCTTTGAGGGGATGCAATTTATCCTACAGTCTCACACAGTCAATGTCTGAGCCTAAAAAGGCCTCCACTCACACCCTCTCTGTTCACTGCCCTCATTCAATAGATGACAAGTGATTGCATAAAGTCCATGCCGCCCATTTCACAGCCCTAAAACTGAGGGGTGCGCCAGCCTTCAGCTCCCCCTCTAAGGATATGGGGGCTGCTTCTCACAGAGCAGGATTGTTTCCCCTCTCCTCCTCCCTCCCCCACCTTCTGGCTGCAGGCTTGACCCAGTGATTCAGAGCTGTTTCTCTCTCATGTCCCTATTGTCAGCGGGCACCTGCTCTGCTGTGGGCTGTGTGGGGACATTTTCTCTGCTGGGCTTTGCATCTCTGCCTCCTCCCCTCCAACTTCCGCTCTGGACCGGCTTTCTTCTCGCTGGGGTCTGGGATTTGCTGAACAGACTTGCTGGAGCCCGAGTCAGCCTCTGGCCGTTGTGACCTGATTCAGACCATACTTACTGTTTTCCATATCTGATATGCTCTGTTATTTTCTAGTCTATACTATCTGTATAAAAACATCTAGTTAATACTCAGTACATTGATTTGACCACCAACCATTGAGTGGTGACCTGAAGTGTGAAATACTGACTTGGGATCCGGTTCTTCCAGAGCTCGTGAGGCCCTTAGTGGTCTTTTTCCAGCTGACCCCATTAATTTCAGGCCTGCCAACCCATCTCCAAGCCATGTGTCCCTTCCCCAGTTGAGCAGGCAAATAGGCATTCAGACCTCCGGTCACAGCTCAAGCCCCGACTCTTTCAGGGCCTGAGTCTCCAGCTATTCTAACTATGTTATCTTGGACTCTAGACTGTCTATATGGCATCTTCTCTTTCCAGGGTCAATCTTGTGTTAACTGTTTCTTTATTTTCTCTTTTCTGGATGCCCTGGCATTGTGGCCTCGAAGGCTGGGAAGAGACTGTCCCTTCCAGGACGAGCCCAAGCTTAGAGACAGCAAAGGTCTGGGAGCACATCTTTCAGATGTAGACAATCAGTTCCAAGCCTGTTCCCCCAGCTACATCCTTATCCAACCCTCACACACTGAGTCAATATTTCCCTGCCCCAAATCACCCCAGGGAAGGTGGGGACCATCCCTATTGCCAGAACTGTTCCAATGAGACCGTCCTAGACTGGTTACTCTGCTCCGCCTTGCTTTTCCTATGAAAATCCCCAGAAAACTCTAGCCTCATTTTCCCTTGCTCCTGCTTCTGCCTGTCACACTTAGTATTTCCCCTGGCATGTTCTCTTCTTCCAGGATGTGCAAGTAATGGATTCTTTCAGTGGCATTGGCCTCTGTAGGTCAGCACCCGGTCACCTCCATACCTTAAAATCCTAGGGAATAATTTTAACCCACCAGCCTCTCCTGGGCTTGCCAAGGCATCTGCAAATTCCTGGGTTCCCACGGCACCTTGTACAGAGTGATGGTGCCAAGGGGTGGCTGGCGGGGCTCTAATTGCCTGAGGAACCTCCATCAGACACCTGAATGCAGACCTAAGCCCAGTGAACATGATTGCTGCGCTTCTTAGCAAATGCAGTCCCTCCCTCTTCCAACCAGGTGGCCACCAGTGCCCCCTGTGGGGGAATTCAGGAAGCACCACTCCTTGTGCATACTTCATGTTTATGTGGATTACCGCAAACTGTAATCATTTACAAAAATAAGTATTCTTCACTAGAGTATGAACCCTGACCCCACACCTAGAGTGATTGTGTGTGTGTATGTGGGTGAACGTGTGCCATAGGAGCTCCATAAATATTTGAATAAGTGAGTGGATGAATGAGTGTTTTAAAACTCATTAAACTCAGACTGAGATGTAATTTAAACTTAACTCTGTGGGTACTAGGGAGCAACTAAAGTCAGCTGAGAAAGGGAGTAACATGAATAAGGATTGGCAGCTGAGTCAGGGGTGTGTTGGGGAGGTGGTGCATTGTACTATATTGGAGAGAAGACTAGGCCTCAGAGCCTCAGAGGTCTGGGATCAATCCCAGCTCCACTGGGTGACCTCGGCAGGTTAGTTGACATCTTGTTTCCTCAGAGACTTGCTGTGAGGAATAAATGAGAAAAATGCAAAGCCCTCAGAGAGCGTTTGGTGCACAGAACACTTAGAATAAATGTTAACAATTATTATTACTCAACCTTCTTGAGCCTCAATGTCTTACTCTGCAGTAACATGTCATTGGTTGATTCTCAATGGACACAAAATGAAGTTTGTGAAAAGGTGCTTCGCTGAGGCTTGGTGGCTCAGCCTGTAATCCTGCGCCTTTGGGAGGCTGAGGTGAGTGGATTGCC